GAAATTCCAACTCGTGTCAGTTCTAAAGCATCATCCCTTCACTCTGAGGCTGTGCCCTCAGGTCCAGGTCTCTCCTACTAGTGGAAACATCTTCTCCACGTCCACTGTATCCAGGCCTCTCAGTATTCTTTAAGTTTCAGTGAGATCACCCCTAATCCTTCTAAACTCTATTGAGTACAGACCCAGAGCCCTCAGCTGCTCCTCATATGACACAGGGCACACATGCACAGGGCAGTGTGTGGCATTGGGACATGAAAACATGGATAAGAGAGTAATAACTGTCTTCTATGGTTTCAGTTGCACCACTGACCATGGCTTCAGTTGTGACCGTTCCAATGATGTCCAGCACTGTTTCCTCTGTGGTTCTGAGGGCATGCCCTGCCCATTCACTACCAGTTAGGTTCTGCTGCTTCTAATTACAGACTAGTTTGTCCTGTCAGAGTAAGGAAAATGTATCAGTAAGGGCAATGCAATGTATGTTTGGGTGATTCACTTGTCATAATTGAATAGTTGGCAAGTTCTGAGTGTGTGAGTCTTCCTGCACCCTAAAGTTAACAGGGATTTTTTTGGGGAGATGTTATTTTTGGCAGTCTAGGGCAGGAGCAGCTAACAGCACCGATACAATGATCATTGTACCAGAAAAAAACAGGAGAGGGAGGAGACTGAGTCAGTCTGAAACAATGAACATTCTGCATATGCCAAGTAAAGGCAGGCCTATCTAAAACCCATGTGGATTCCCATAGAAACTCTCTGTACTGTGAGGAAATGAGTAAGATTGAAGGAGAAGTTGTTAAATGTGAAAACAAGTTCAGCTGATGGTGGAGGCAGTGTAGAGGTTTCCAGGGCTGCACATGGGGACATGTAAAGTTTGGAACATCCATGCTTGTTATTGACTGCTTGATTTTTGTTTTGAAACAGTATATATCAGTAATTTCTCTTGTCTTTTCCCATGAAATATCGCCAAAGGCATAAGTGAGAGTAAAGTGGTTGTATTAAAATATTCAAAGCATACACTCCAAGGTACATTCACTGGTATAGCCACATTTATTTAAGGGGGACATGAGAAAATAAACTTACCAAGTTTGTTATCTCCTCCAGTGAAGAACAATATTGATTATTACCAGTGCGTAGAAGGAATGCAATGGATATTGGGCCATGTACTAAGCTCCTTTGAAGTCAATTTTTCATAATGAAATTATACATTTTACACTGCAGATTTCCACCCCACCTTGTAACAATTTATAAAGGTTGAGAAATAAGACATTCCGTATTGGAGAATAGTACCAAATTATTCTTCAAATTGAGAATGTCTGGACAGTCATTTATTTTCTGCAGTTTTTTAGAGGATCCATTGTGTTTGTTTTGACTTGTGCTTTCTTTTTTGAAGATTGGTCAACATGTTTTACTTATTTCTTTAAATGTAACCTTAGTTTGTTGTATCTGTGGTGAATTCCAACAGTGGTGTTTTATCAATTAAATGCAATTTCCATTGCTGACCTTTTAGAAATACATGGGTGATTTAACTTGTCAAGCGATACATTGGATACATCCAACATAATATTGTTTTGAAGTCAGATTAACATTGCCAAGTTGTTTGTCATAAATTGCAATAAAGTGAGGAGAAATGTCCTTTTTTGAATATAAGTGATCTAATCTCCAAAGACTTTTTGTTATTTGATTACCATTTTGGCTGCTAAAGAGCCTTTCTGATGGACTATTAACAAGTTAGTCAAGTAACTATGATACATGGGAAGTTCATTGTTCCAAACTGCAGTTCCATGGTACAGTAGACCCTGTCTGGAATTTCACTCTCTTTGCACCAGCTACCCTTTCCACTAATTCTTTGTGAAAGCAAGTACATTTTTTCACATTACTGTTTAAGCTCACAGTTTATTCAAACTGGAAGGAGATGTGCAAAACAAAATACATACCAACTAAAACACTCTACCCTATTGTACGTAAAGTGAGATTTATGTGTTACTCCATCACTGAAAGTAAAGCACGGAATTTAATGTTCACTATTTTAGCCACCACTGATTTGCTTTTTTGCTATTTACTATGAAAATATTAATAATACTTCTAGTAAGATTCTTTCCTTCAATGGAACAATCAATCTGTAGCATTAGTCAACTATTTATTTCATAATTGGAGATATTGTCCAAATGTCTACCAGTTTTAAGGGATCCACAATTATTTGCAGTGTAATTCATTCAAATTTGTCACCAATGAATACATTTGAAGTTTATAAATATTTTTACAATCCCAGATGATATTACAAGAAAAAGTCAGATCCCAGAATGAAACCTAGCTTGATAGATCTTGTGTTTAATTTTTCTAGAAAGTTAATGTGGAGTTTAATCCCAGAAATATGAAGCATCAGATGTTCTTTACCTACAGAACATAAGTTTTTTATGCAAGAAAAGAGCAATTGAAGTATTTATAGTACAGTCTCTGTTATCCTGCACCTAACTGTCTAGAATTCTCATGCAGCTGGCAATCAGAAAGGTACCTCCTACTGTACATTGTAGTTCTCCCACAACACTATAGCCCAAGATTCAAAATTGGAAGTCAGAATTGTAACTTTCTGCAGAACTTACTGAAACAGAGCAACTGACTTATCAGGATAGGAGTAGTTTCCATGCTCTGGGAGCTGATAATTTGGTTGTCTCTTTCTCTTTTTCATTAAAGCCTTGCTGGTAGTATTTATGAATGGATCTGGCCGCTTGGTTTTAAAATTCACATTCATCTTGTGGCAGCGATTAGTCAAGTTCTCTCAGATGCCACTAGTGTTTCTCATGTAACTGGCAGATTCAGCTCCCATTCCCCATGCATACCAGATATCATAGAGATCAGATGAGAAAGATCTTAACACAAACAGCAAAGTCAAGTTTCATCTTTTTTTTCCCAACATTATCCTTTTACAGATAATTAATCTCAGAGAGATATTACTCTTATCTTGCCTCTTAACTTTTTTTACTTAATTAATTCTTCCCCATATCTCTTTCTTGGACTACTGAGACAGATTTATATTTGTTTTTGAGACTGTTGGCATGAACATCTGATGGTCTAAACTTTTTCAGTTCCAAAACCTAGGAAGATTTCTATACAAGCTCAAGCAGTCTGGAAACTTCACAAACTAAAATCATTTCTGCTAAAGTGACTTGTTCCTTTGAACTGAAAACTTGTTTCCTCTGCTAAGAGGAGATTAATGTCCCTTCTGAACAGAAGTCTGATTTTTTTTATGAGCTGAAGTCAGAAGCTATAACAATAGGCTCTGGTATGTTGTAAACTCAGCGGTATGAATGTTCCATCCATTGACATGCTTGACTGGATCACATGCCTTCTTGGAAATGATGTATTTTAGTCACTGGTACAAATGACTTTCTAACCACTTTTTTAAAAAAAAAGTTCACAAAACTGAGCAAAATCCACATGTCTGTATTTTAAAATCCAAATCCAAAACTAAGATGATATATGAGATAGCAGGAAATGCCGATGCTGGAGAATCTGAGATAACAAGGTGTAGAGCTGGATGAACGCAGCAGGCCAAGCAGCATCAGAAGAGCAGGAAAGCTGACGTTTCAGGTCTGGACCCTTCTTCAGAAATTTCTGAAGAAGGGTCC